CGGGGTGACTCTTATCAACTATTACCACGGTCTCTGAAAGTAAAGGGTAAGCAAAGGGCACATACCATGTTGTTCTCTTTGTGAGAATCAATGCCCATTGACAAGAAAATCCCCAAACATTTCCAAATCAAAAAGGAAATCTTAAATTGCATGGAAATTACACTACGAATATCGTCTACCCCAGAATGTTACAATTTGTGAAAATTGCTGTGGAGTTTTTAACCTCTGGGTGTGCAAAGGAAATGTCTTATTATAATCAGTACTAGCAATGAACATCTAAGTGGCATTGTGAGGCTGACAGTGTCAGGGAGATTTGGGAGCAGGTTAGGGCAGCTCCCCACATGCAATTAGCCAGCATTACAGCGCATTGTGATTGATGTTTTACGTGTTTCCCGACTAATGGCAAAAGGTAAGAATCACATTACCTCAATTACACAGCCACTCCTCCCTTGCTCCTCTTTCACAGACCTTACGTGGAGCTTTGGAATTTCAGTCTAATTGTCCTCAGTTGGAAGTAAATAGTGAATTTTATAAGTAAATAGCGGGCTGTGACAGTGAAAGCTGTAGATGCCCAGAGATAGCCTTCGCAGCACCTGCTGCTCCCCACAGTCTTGTACTATGTGCTGAGAGAAGGAAGTTTCTTTAGTGGAACTGTGTTTTCGAAACTGAGCATTTTTATCTAAGAAAGGACTGTATGGTGCTGAGTTACCATTATATACACATTGCCAAAAGGTCATTTCATAACAGGGGTTTATTTTATTTTATGTTGTTAAACAAAGAAAACTATAAATAAATTAGAACCAGACGTTATTGGTTTCTCTGCTCAAATCAATGGGAATTACTTGGCTAGAGAGATGTCGGATCATGAAAACTGTTATTGCTCCTCTAGATATTCTCTTTAATGGTCACAGAAGGGAATGAAATGAACATCATTGAATTCCTGGATAGCGACAGGGCACTATACTTGACATCTATATGTTTGATATGTGTGTGACATTTGTGTCATAACCCCAAGAAGTAGACACCATGATTCTTTCTCTCTCTACCATAAGAGTAAACCATCCATTTAATAAGTGTCTTATATGTGCAGGTCAGTAAATGTCAATTGTGCACAGTGACTATGCTTAATCCTTGAAACCATATTTCCTGTGGAGCATTGTGGCAGCAAAAGAGAAATGTAACTGAAGAATATTTTAGTTCATGAAATAAAATGATCAATTTGATTCATTCGGTAAAATTCACAGATAATTTATTATTAGTTCTCTCTCTCTTTTTTGAGACAGGGTTTCTCTGTGTAGCTGTGACTGTCCTGGACTCACTTTGTAGACCAGGCTGGCTTTGAACTCACAGAGATCTGCCTGCCTCTGCCTCCGAAATGCTGTGATTAAAAGCGTGTGCCACCACACCCAGCTATTCAATTAGTTCTATAAAAATAAATTGGGAATGAGAATCATTCTTAATATGTCATGTAACATAATATAGGAAGAACTTTTTGAGTTTAACTGGTGGTTCTCATTTGGCGAGCAGAACTCAAATCAACCACGTTATGTGGACAGTCGCTACAGGAGGAACCACAAATTAGAATAAAGTTTACCTCCTGTAAGGCCCAATATAAAGCACTATGACAATGCTGCTTCATGACTATACATTCTACAGTGTTAGACACCTCTGACACTTCTCCCGATAGACAGTAAATTCCCCAGAGCAGCTGTGTAGGACATAAACACTGCATAGGAAAAAAAAAATAAACAGAAGGAAAACTAATACACACTTTCATTATTTGAAGAATAGAGACATAAAAATTTCTACTGAATGACACAAAATTCTTTTAATATTTGGGTATCCTCATAGTTAGCCTCCAGCCACATAGGTGTAGAGACCAAAACACTCCCTCAAGTCTATACACTAACTTCTGATTTAATAAATAGCATTCTGATACTATCCTGAAGTAAGGACAGCAGACAATAAAAACAGCATTCCTATCTTCTCCATCCAGGACACCAAACATTAACCTTTCTCCTCTCCTCCCCTCCCCTCCCCTCCCCTCCCCTTCCCTCTCCTCTCCTCCCCTCCCCTCCCCTCCCCTCCCCTCTCCTGTCCTCTCCTCTCCTCTCCTCTCCTCCCCTCTCCTTCCCTCCCTTCCCTTCCTCTCCCCTCCTCTCCTCTCTTTTCCCCTCCCCTCCCTTCCTGTCTCCTTCTTCCCTCCCCTCCCTTCCTCTCCCTTCCCCTCCCCTTCTCTCCTCTCCTCTCCTCCCCTCCTCTTCCTTCCTCTCCCTGCCTCTCCCCTCCCCTCCCTTCCTCTCCCCCCTCCTTTCCTTTTCCTTCCTCTCCCCTCCCCTCCCCCCTCCTCTTCTCCTCTCCCCTCCCCTCCTCTCTTCTTTTCTCATCTCCCTTCTCCTGTCATCTATTCTCTCCCACCTCTCATTTTTTCTTTCCCCTCTCTCTCTGCCTCCCTCCTCACTCCTCAATAGACCCATCTCCTAGAAATATGAAGATACTCTGTGCTGAATAACTGAATTCTCACCCAACAATATCACTGCAATTTGCATCAGACAATGACAAATTCCCTAGTAGTGCACCTTGGTTTCCTACAAGGTACTCTGCTTGTCCCGATAACAGTATCATAATACTATTTTTTTTTCCTATTACTATGGATGTTTTGAAGGACAAACAGGTTTATTTGCTGTGTTATACAGTGAGTTTTGTTAGTGAAAACAATCAGTGATTCTATCTAAAGAGTTCTTTAGGCTCACAATAAAGTAAGCAATATCTCACAAAAATAAGTCTGTTGAGGGTTTTCTCAGAAAGCCTTTCTGTGTTTGTACTCGCTTATGTGGATTCATGGGCAGCCATCTCCTACAAGCAGGCGCTGGTACAGACCAGAAGAAGGCATCAGATCCCTTGGAAGTGGAATTAACAGATGGCTGTGAGCTGCCATGTGGGTGCTGGAAACTAAACCAGGGTCCTCTGGAAGAGTGGTTTTAACCACTGAGATCCCATTTGGGCTTTTAAAACAGGAACACAAATTTTATCTTCTGCCTCTGGTCAACACTGAGATGTGGTGACTGGAGAAGAAGCTTGGAAGCAGAAAGAGCTTGTACAGTAAAAATTGTATGTACAGTAAAACACCAGCCCTTTCTCATGAGAACTGAAATATTTTTTTCTTATATTATTTTAACGGAAGTTCTGTATGTTCTCTGTCACCTGAGGATATATGAGTCCTGAAAGAAAGTTTTGTCACTCTTCTCAGACAAATGCTTTCTGAGTCACATACATAATACTGTATACAATCATTTACACCACATTTTAAGATGGTACACTGAATGTGTAAAGATGCTGTTACTATTTGCCAGTGGAAATGCTAGAGCTAGTATATAAATTTCCGTGTGTGTGTGTGTGTGTGTGTGTGTGTGTGTGTGTGTGTGTGTGTGTTTGAGTGTTTGTATATGTAAATGGATGTATGCCTAAGGAGGCTAGAGGTTAATGGTGGATCTTTTCTCTGTTGACTTTCACCTTTAGTTTATAAGACAGGGTTTCTCACTGAGCTGACAGATTTGGATAGGATAGCTTACCAGAGAGCTCCTAATTCTTAGGCAGTCACAGCTACCTTCCCAGCCCTAGATCTCATCCTGCCACTGACGTATCAGGCTCTAGAGTAGCAGCTTCCACTGCCCCGTGCTGTGGTTCCTGCTCAGCGATGGGGCTGCCCAGTGGTGAGGGTGCTGCAGAGGTTGCTATGCCTTCCTGAGAAAGGAAAGAACTGTTGAGAAGACACTCCAGGTGTAAGACATGATGTAGCATTTAGAAAATGAATGTAAATTCATTCTCCTCAAGTCGAATAACGAAGCAGTTCACAAAATCTTGAATCTTCAAATATTTCAAATATGCAGAAGTATAAAATCTTGGAAATAGTGCTATGCCTGAGACAGAGCAATGTTGTTCTTCAGCATATTCAACCTAAGCGCAAAGAATGATTAACCCAGCCTGTCTTTTCCCACTCAAGTGGTGTGATTTTAAGATAGAAGGTACATAAAATATAGCAATTTATGAAAACCCAACTCTTCCAGAGTTTTAGACCTATGTTTGTGGAAAGGTCTCAAAAGCAACAGGTCATGTCCTCTGATAATATGACTGTAGACCCTTCCTCAAAGAATACGCAGCTCGCAGAGGAGGTGACCAGGACATTCTAAATGCAATGAACTGGCTTAGGAAAATGTTTTATTCTTTATTGTTATTGTTGTTTGTTTTTGCAAATGAAAACTCTGTCAAATATTCCTCGTCAAATTAATTGTCAAAAATTTTATTCTGCATAAATATTATTTCCTTCATTAAACTTCTATTCTAATAAAGCATATAGACAATAAGGAAGGAAGGAATTAACTTTGCTAATTTATAAAGCCATGAATTAATTGTGGCAAAATAATACAACTGAGGGGGTAGGCTGTCCAAATTTTGAATTGAGGCACTTGGGACATTTCAACATTAACACCAACTCAAAATTTTTATTCATTTATCATTTATACCCAAGACAGTCATTAATTTTAATTGTTCCATCAGTAAATCGCCCTGTACATGCCCAAAACCTAACATCACATTTTTTTTTCCTTGAGTGTGTTTCTTAGTAATAAGGACCAGGAGCACAAAAAAGCTTTCTAACATTGCATTTCCAGATATTTAACTTTCCTCTTTAAAATTTAAAACCAGAACCTCACAGTATATATCTAGATTCTTTAGTTTATCATATCTATTGTTCTGGAGATTCACCTATGTCATTATGTAAGTTAGTTTATGTCTCTGTTTCAATCTATATAACCGTATTCACAAAACTATAGATGTAGATTTATTTTTATCAGAAGAATTAACTTAGCATGTTTAGCCATTTTGGTATATACTCAAGGTTTTAGCTACTTTTTATTAACTCTTTGTGGTGCTCTTATCCCCTGTGGGTCCTTCTATCTGCACCCCCTGGCCTCTTCTTCCATAAGACTCCCTGCACTAGGAAAAAATGTGGACTATTCACAACTTTTCATGTCATCCTTGGGCAGGGGCTATGCTAACCTTCTCTGTATCATTGCATTTTCATATATGTGCTGTAGAAGCTAGCACTGATGCTTATTTTCTATCAGAGATTGTGAACTTCTGAAAATAAATTTTTGACTGTATTCTAGCTTCTAATTCTTCTTTGTTCAAGAGTAAGTGTAGTGAGAACCAGTTGGTTTCTGACTCTTGTGCCCGCTCTTGGGACACTTTTCCTCCTGTTGGGTTCCCATGTCCAACTTTGACAAGGTAGTTTTTGCATCATTTTATTATATTTTATTTAGCTTTGTGTGGTTGTTATCTCTGATAAGCCTATTCTTTTCTGATAAGAGACAGAGAGAGTGGATCCAGAGGGAAGGGAAGGTGGGAAGAAATTGGAAAGAGTAGAGGGAAGGGAAACTATATTCTGTTTATATTATATGAAAAAGATAATCTATTTCAATAAAAGGGAAAAGCTGAAAGTAAGTGTAAGTATAATCTCAAGCCAATATATGATAAATATGTAATATATAGTATATATAATGTAAAACACACACACATATCTCCTAAACTGGAGATACTGACTAAATCTCCAGAGGCAGTGATGGAACTAACTATGCAGATATCCAGGGAAAGAGCTGTTGGACAATAGTGATCTCATGCCATAAAAGGCTCCATAGCATTTGAGTGCTTAGAAGATTCAGGAGAAGACAAGTAAGCAAGGATTATAAGAAAAGAGTATGGAGTTGTGAGAATGTGAGACAAGAGCAGGAGTTGAGATAAAAGATTGAATTGGTTCAAATCATATATGGGGTTTGTAGGTCACTGAAGAGGCATAATTTTACTTTCAAGATGACTTAGAAGGGTTTGTGCAAAGGGTGTCCTCTCTGACCTTCTTGAAAGAGAAGCATTTTGTGGCTGTACAATTGTTAGACTAAAAGAAGGCCAGGGCAAATACAAGGACTCTAGCCAGAAATCTACTGCAATAACCTAGAAAATGCCTAGGAGTGTTAGTCCTGGCTCTGTGATTGTCATTTACAAGTGTGTGTGTGTGTGTGTGTGTGTGTGTGTGTGTGTGTGTGTGTGT